TCTTTCTTGGGTCCTCCGGCTATAAGAATAATAATAATATTAATTGCTAGATGTGTTACAGTCGCAAGGTGATCCCAGGGAGATATCCCCGTATTCCATAATTCCAGTCTCTTGGGCTTCTGAAATAGTTCAGAGCGCGTCATAAGTTGATAATGCAGTTGAAAATTAGCGTTGAAGATGTGAAGGGAATCAAAACTTATATTCAAAATTCTTCAATAAAAATGGTAAATTTGGATATACACACCTAAATACAATTTGTCTTTCAGAGGTAACAGAGAAATCAGTGTCCTACAATACACAAGCACATTAAGCTTGAAGCCGCTCAGATGTTTCGCTACCAAGTAATCAACGTGGAATGGTTGAATTTAATCAGATGTGACACTCAGAAATTATTGTATGAAGAACAATATTTAATTTGTTTCAGTTACTTAGAACAAAAATGGAACCTACACAGGCAAAAGTGAGTCCAAACTTCTCTCTAAGTACGACTGACCAACTTTTAAGAAAAGAAGTTTTACGTAAGCTTAGTGTACATAACATACAAATTTTAAACAATAGTCTTGATGCCACACATACTATAGGAACATAAAAGAACAGCAAGTTGATTTAACCTACGATAACCAAATAAAGTCAAACACCGTGAATATTACCGATCAGAATTTAGGACTTCCATGATTAAAATAGAAGTTCTGAAAGGCATCAGCGTTAAATGACTGATGCATCTTATAAGATGGCTAAAACGTTTGTTTTAGGGGGTTAAGGTTGTGTTGGTACAAATTTTGTGGGGTTCTGTGCAATAACTGTACAGTACATCTTCCAGTGGCTTCAAACTTTTAGTGTTGATGTATTGTCTTCAAAGGAAGGCTGAATCGACATTATGTACCTTTTATGTGCCCATAATATTCAAGAACATTCTAAAAAATTATGTTATGTACCTAAATCCTAATGAAGGCGTAGTTACTTAGTTACCTAGTTACTTAAACCTTAAAATGTGGTTAGTCTTATTTACAGACAAGTTTGAATTAATTTTGGCCTGTGTAGGTCTAACTGGCCTTTATTATCGAAATACTGTTTTTTTTTTTTATGCTCTAATTTCTAAGTGCTTCATTCAGTTGGTTTCACCCTTCAATAATGATAACTTGACAATGCAACTTCTAAGCGGCTTCCAACTTAATGTGCTGGCGTATTTTAGGACACTGGTCTCTGAGATAACAAGAAATTGCATCTTCAGTTTGATTTAAAGCCGGTGTTTCTGTGTGGAAATATTGAATTGGCTTTGGGTTGTGTATATGTGTATGGATGTAGGACACAATGAAGTAGTCGATTTGTTGGCGAAATCGCATTAAATCTTGTGATATAAGGAGAGACTTGTCAAAATAATACAAAAGTTAGTACAAAGACATATTATAGATCAAATTATTGTCATTAGTGTGTTTAAACTAGCATTTGAAGGCATATTTTACCGAATGCGAAATATTTAAGGTAAACTCGTTCATAGACCGTTGTATTGTTACTATATGTCCTAACCTAGCCTAGATTAACATGCATTTTCAACGAAGTATAATGTGTGCGATAACACTGATCCTTTTTGTGATATATATTGCTACCGCGCATCCATCAGCTGTGTTTCCTTACAGCACTTTTCAAAACATTTGTCACTCTTTCAGCTGGGCCACCACCGCCGTACAGCGCCACTCCACCACCCTTGGGCTTCCAGGGGCCTTCACAGCAGTCGATGTACATGCAGCAGCAACAACAACCGGTGTACGTGCAGCAGCACGGCTCCACCACAGTTGTCACCACACAACCACTACCTTCGTCAGTGGTGCTGGTGACCGGAGCTAACTGTCCAGCCTGCAGGGTGAGTGTCCCCTCAGGCTCACAAGTTTTATTATTAATTAGTGATATTATTATTATTATTAATTAGTGATATTATAATTATTATTTATTAGTGTTATTATTTTTATAATTATTATAATTATAATTATTATTATCATTGTCATTATAATATTGAGAAACGTCAAATTCTGACGGGTCTTTTAGAGCAATGATCGTGGAGTGTTGATCCTCCTTCTGGCTTCCTAGTAGCAAGGTAGGTGGTGCCTTGATGCCGGGTTAAGGGCTCTTGATTCTAGGAAATAAATCATTACCCCTCTTTGAAGGGAATTCTCTCACCTCCCGTTCATCAGTCTACATGTGGCTCGTTCCTAGCCTTCACTGTCCAAGCCCTGACGCTCTCAGAAGTAACTCTCCCAGTTCTGACTCTCCCACAGGCTGGCTTCCTGAGGAGTGAGTTTACGTGCTGTGGGATCTTCCTGGCCATCTGCTTCTTCCCCATCGGCATGTTGTGCTGTTTCTTAATGATGGAACGACGCTGCTCGAACTGTCGCCTAACCTTCTCTTAAGACTCGCTTCTGTGTGTGTGTGTGTGTGTGTGTGTGTGTGTGTGTGTGTGTGTGTATGAAAGAGAGAGGCAATGACCTCAATGTATCAATATAGTACCAACAAAATAATACCACCAATATACCAACTTAGTACCACTAATGTACCAACATAGTACTACTAATATAATGGTTTATTGGCTAGTTTATTGTGCACCTCATACCCATCCTGTGGACAGTAGCACATAGCTACACAATAACCGAAGAACTAGACCTAGTAACATAACAGGTGTTCATTTAGCTGTACAATATTATCATTTGTACTTACATACTTTTTCTGTTACAAGCAAGTTTAGGATAGTTAGAATTTCTGGTTTCTTATTTGAACTAAGAAAACTTTACGTATCAGATAGACTCACGTATTGTCCCTCAATATTCAATAACGAGTGCACACTTAAGCTCTTGATATTAAAGAACATGACTATATAACCGACTAGAAGACTGACGCATAGTGTAGCGCAAAATTGAGTTCTAGACTAGGGGTTCATTTTGGGTTGAGCCTTGTTTTGATAGAGTTTTACATACAACTCCTGCGAATAGTCATAATTCAGCTGTTCAAGGCTCCGTCAGCAGCCACTCATTTAACTTTCTTTTACGAAAGTACTATAATTGTAATTAAAAGGGCGGGCTTGTTGTTCTTAGAGTTAATCATGCACACCTCATGAACTGGACAAGTGCAGTACTAATCATTAGAATAGATAATGAGCTAGAAGACGTTATTTTTAAGTAGCAATCATACAGACATCTAACACTATAACAATCGTACAGGCCCTCCAACATTATAGCAGTCATACAAGCCTCCAACACTAGAGTGGAATCATGGGACATCTAACCTCATTTTGCACGGGAAACCCAACAGGTGACTCCAACACCCACTCACATCCCATCCACATATGACATCAAACCTGCTGTACTGCTTTGTAACTCACCCGTACATCACATAGTGTTTATACAGTGTACTGACGAGGGTCTTAATCAAATGATGACTCGTTCAGTGGCTAAGCTTCCCTGTCCAGTATGTAAATAAAACATACAATGCGGGTTATGTCATTTTATTTGTGAAAACGCGTATTTGCATCCACTAGCGGCTAGTGACACCTAGGTGGGTTAGGCTAGTGACTAGCCTAACCCACCTAGGTGTCACACCCCGTTCAAGAAACAGACTCACTACTTAATAATGAATTCTTCGGTGAGATGATAATACCCTTACGGGTACCTTTAACATAATTACTTATAACTGGTAAGTGTGGGCAGTACTTGCTATTATACATATATGACTGACAACAAAATTTGCATTTATTTTCACTATGTGCCCACCTTCCAAATGTTCTTGTAACTAAGCCTTACCCTGGCTACTACAACATCCGTCAGTGCTTACAGTGTAATATTTATCCGTATGTATGTATGTATGTATATAATATATACATACATATATATATATATATATATATATATATATATATATATATATATATATAATATATATATATATATATATATATATATATATATATATATATAAAGATTGGGTTGTGGTTACCGGTGATACCCCTGGAATATATTTTCTATATTCTATCATTAGTGTTATATTTAGTATAATTACTATTGTGTTATTATTACTATTCCTTCATATGATTTATTGCTTGGACTTTTCACATATAGTATTTTTTATTTAGTAGATAGCTAAAATTTCTAGTTATTTATTTATAGTTAGGTATTATTATTATTATTATTATTATTATTATTATTATTATTATTATTATTATTATTATTATTATTATTCTATTTTTTTATTCCATTTTTTATTTTTATTCTATTTTATTTTTTATCCCATTTTTCTTATTAGTTATTACTATCAATGTTCATTTCATCGATGTATTAAAAGATAGATGTGTTTATATTAATTTTATTTTCACTTTTGACTCCACTGATGGTTAATGGAGTTTCAAGCCTTTCGACTACACTTTTCACCACCAGACAAAAATACAAAAATAAACGCTGAAATACATACACCTCTCGGTGTATGTATCCTCGAGTGTCTGTCACATTATTTCAAAATAATTATAAATATGTCCTTATGTAATGAGTATTTACGCAGTTAGTGAGTTATATGTAAATCCTATGGTATGTACTTAAATAGTTACTAAGTTAGGTTTAAATCCTATCACATGTACTTACGTAGTGGGTTGGATCTGATTCCTGTGGAAAGCTCGAGGCGTTCAGTAATGCTGTCTCTGGCTCACATGTCATAAATTTTATGATTGGGATTAAAATAGAGGTTGAACTGTAGTTGATGTGAAGAAAAACTGAGGACTGGATAAGTGAAGGGAAAAGTTTGAACATGATTAAGAGTTCATAGAGCATGAGTGAGAACAGCAGAGAAGTAATGACCGAGTCTCAGTATCAAACAACTGGCTGAGCTGTCTTCCAGAAGAAGTGTGTGCCTCTCACTCTTTACACACTAATAGTTTACTTTAATCCCTGCTTTAGGGATTAAGGTATCCTTGACTAGTGGTGAAAGGGTGTAAACTCATGTAGTCAGTAGGGTTTAAATTCGATTAACCATCCTTCCCTATCTGTGGTTGCTAAGCTCATTGCCACGACTGTCTGCAAGAAGGACTAAATCTCCCCGGTACGAGGCATCCCCAGCCACCAACCAGAGGTCAACTTTCAGTGGTACTGGGCACCCCACCCCACCAGTGTCAACAGAGTGCTGGTACCGGGGTGCATTAATTGCTTACCGCCTTGTACCACCAGTAATAAAACAATATAGCCTGCTATATTTCTAATTGTTAAAATAAGACATAAAAACCTAAAAAAATATTGTAAAGAAAACTTCGATTGTTTTGAATGGTAAGTGGAAGCGTGCTTCATCTTGATATGTTAACTGAGTGTGATGGACCCACTGCTTCATGCTGACTTTTCTTATTATCACTCATTTTCATGAGGAAGATGAGAGGAAAGTGAGAGGGACCGAATAAGTGTAGGAAGGGAGAGGGAGAAAGAGAAATTGTCTAAAGAATTGAAAGAAGCAAAAGGTAAGAGGGTAAAAAATGAGCTTTGTAAGTTGGTTTATGGGTTTAAAACTCTTCGACTACACGAGGATCATTAATTAAAGCTATATTTCACTTGTCAAGAATGCTATAATCTCTAAACCCTTCAGTGGAGGTGCCTTGGTATCGATGAAAAGCTATTGATCCAGGAAAATGGAGCTTCCCTCCACTTCTTGCATTAACTTTTATTGCATCCCATGCTCTTGGCTCTGCATGACTCCAGTGGATTTATCATTCTCTATAAATATAAAAAGATACTCATTATAATCTCTAGAATAAGGATTAAAGCAAAATCTCATTATATATATACTGCGGGACATGCACCTCTCAGTGTATATAACCTAGTAATACACAGAGGAGAAGAGAGATTGGTAAAGGGGGGGAGGGAAGAGCAGTGACAGGCAGAGGCAGAGGGAAAGATAAATTGAGAGATATAAGTAAACTTTCTTACCCTCCATTATTTTCAATCCCCTGGTGTGAGAGGCTGTATGATGGATCATCCTCACCATTACGACAGTTACTTTAATGGGCTTAAGGCCTGTCCACTACACTAACATCATTACGGTCACAATCCGTCCAGACCAGTGGTAACTACCCTCTCCCTGGGATAATTCTGACTCATTTTTTCCTGGATGTAGCTACACTCTGTAACAATGTCATTATGTTGGTTTAACGTATCGACTAAACGAGGATCATTAAGGTCGCTATTCACCTAAACATAATATGGATTAAGCAAATATGGATTAAAGCAAACTCTCAGTATATATACATTGAGAGAGAGATTCCCAGTATAATCACGGTGTCCGACATACGATCTTATAAGTTGTTACTGTTGTAACTCTCCGATGAAACTCCTTATTTGAATAAGAGACAAAAATATCGAGCTCAGAGAATTAGAGCCTGCGTCCTTAAATAGACAGCAGTGTTATGATAGACAGTGGCACTATGGAAGTGTGGCACAGTGACGTCACAACCCGGCCCTGGCGCCTCACTCAAGAGTGTAAATGAAACGTGACTCAAATATATCAACATAATGGCGTCCTCCACACATCCTACCATGATTTATAACCCCTTTCCTCCCCCTCCTCCACCTCTACCTCTTTCACTCATTTACAGACATCCAACTCCTAACCCCATGGGTTTTTGCCCATGCACATCCCAGCTATGCCACTGGAAACCATTACTTTCCCTTCAAGGCTTTCAGCTATGTGACAGCTCATAACCAGTAATTCCGTCCTTAAATCTCTTACAAAGGCAACTGCTTAAGAAGAAACTTCTCCTTTAATTGTTAGTAATAATGTATCAAACTAAATACACTGAAGGATCTAAGCAGGAGTCTACTAGCGGGGCTGTATCTGCTCTCGTTGCCACCTCTCCAGATAACGATGGGAACTATGTTGACTTAGGCATGAGAATTAACAACTGCGCGTTTACACTGCAAACTGGATCGTTTGCCATCCTAATGGCACTAAAGTTAACTGATGATACCGAGTTTCACTCCATGATTATTATTGATTTTATGTCATCATTGTGGACACTTAACTCACATAATAACTAAAATATGCTCATTGGAGAAGCCAGGTACAGTTACTCCAAAATCAGGGAAAAGGGAATTAATGTTAAATTTTTTATGGATTCTATCACACGCTGAATTACTCCTGCATGATAAAGTTGATAAATTAGCCCAACAATGCACCTTGATGGAAAATGTAGAATATAACTTCGGTATATCTGTGTCTAACATTAAGGATAATATTAGGAAAGAAGTAAATGATGAAGCTGAATGTTATAGAATTACAGTTAGAAGCCAGAGTAGAGCTTTCATTCACCACGATAATATGAACGTAGATAAATACGTTTATGGAGCAACTAGCAATGTGAACAGATTGACTGATGTTGTTATTATTATTATTATAATTAAGGGGGAAGCGCTAAACCCGTAGGATTATACAGCGCCTGTGGGGGGGGGATGGAAGGTATTCAGGGTTAATTCAGGGAACTGGAGCACAGATCCAGTTCCCAAGATCAAGAGTCCCTCACCAGCATCAAGTAACCTTCCTTGAGGGGTGACTGATGTTGTAGTAGACAGGCTAAGGTTTAGTTACAAATACTTCTGGTAGTTTGGCTGATGATGATGATAATCAAAGTTTGTGGGCAGCCCTGTGATCACTTTCTTGAATACTGTGTGATACCATCCCGCCTCCCTGAGCTTATAATATAATTAGGCCTATACTTGGTAAACTAAGTCTCGCCAACCATGGCTCTTTTATCTCAGAAACTTCACAGACTCTAAGAGAAAAAATATCAATAAACGAATATATTATGTTAGTGAAAAAGAGCTTGTATAACCTAATACTTTCTCACAGATGTTGAAGGTATTTCCTGTTATCATGTAGAGCAGTGAAGTATTGCCACTTATGTAGAGCAGTGAAGTATTGCCACTTATGTAGAGCAGTGAAGTATTGCCACTTATGTAGAGCAGTGAAGTATTGCCATTATGTAGAGCAGTGAAGTATTGCAACTTATGTAGAGCAGTGAAGTATTGCCACTTATGTAGAGCAGGGAAGTATTGCCACTTATGTAGAGCAGTGAAGTATTGCCACTTATGTAGAGCAGTGAAGTATTGCAACTTATGTAGAGCAGTGAAGTATTGCACTTATGTAGAGCAGTTTAAGTATTGCAACTTATGTAGAGCAGTGAAGTATTGCCACTTATGTAGAGCAGTGAAGTATTGCCACTTATTGTTTAGAGCAGTGAAGTATTGCCACTTATGTAGAGCAGTGAAGTATTGCCACTTATGTAGAGCAGTGAAGTATTGCCAATTATGTAGAGCAGTGAAGTATTGCAACTTATGTAGAGCAGTGAAGTATTGCCACTATGTAGAGCAGTGAAGTATTGCCACTTATGTAGAGCAGTGAAGTATTGCCACTTATGTAGAGCAGTGAAGTATTGCAACTTATGTAGAGCAGTGAAGTATTGCAACTTATGTAGAGCAGTGAAATATTGCACTTATGTAAGCAGTGAAGTATTGCCACTTATGTAGAGCAGTGAAGTATTGCCACTTAAGTAGAGCAGTGAAGTATTGCCACTTATGTAGAGCAGTGAAGTATTGCCATTATGTAGAGCAGTGAAGTATTGCAACTTATGTAGAGCAGTGAAGTATTGCCACTTATGTAGAGCAGTGAAGTATTGCCACTTATGTAGAGCAGTGAAGTATTGCCACTTATGTAGAGCAGTGAAGTATTGCAACTTATGTAGAGCAGTGAAGTATTGCAACTTATGTAGAGCAGTGAAGTATTGCAACTTATGTAGAGCAGTGAAGTATTGCCACTTATGTAGAGCAGTGAAGTATTGCCACTTATGTAGAGCAGTGAAGTATTGCCACTTATGTAGAGCAGTGAAGTATTGCCACTTATGTAGAGCAGTGAAGTATTGCCATTATGTAGAGCAGTGAAGTATTGCCACTTATGTAGAGCAGTGAAGTATTGCCACTTATGTAGAGCAGTGAAGTATTGCCACTTATGTAGAGCAGTGAAGTATTGCCACTTATGTAGAGCAGTGAAGTATTGCAACTTATGTAGAGCAGTGAAGTATTGCAACTTATGTAGAGCAGTGAAGTATTGCAACTTATGTAGAGCAGTGAAGTATTGCCACTTATGTAGAGCAGTGAAGTATTGCCACTTATGTAGAGCAGTGAAGTATTGCCACTTATGTAGAGCAGTGAAGTATTGCAACTTATGTAGAGCAGTGAAGTATTGCCAACTTATGTAGAGCAGTGAAGTATTGCAACTTATGTAGAGCAGTGAAGTATTGCCACTTATGTAGAGCAGTGAAGTATTGCAACTTATGTAGAGCAGTGAAGTATTGCCACTTATGTAGAGCAGTGAAGTATTGCCACTTATGTAGAGCAGTGAAGTATTGCCACTTATGTAGAGCAGTGAAGTATTGCCACTTATGTAGAGCAGTGAAGTATTGCCACTTATGTAGAGCAGTGAAGTATTGCAACTTATGTAGAGCAGTGAAGTATTGCCACTTATGTAGAGCAGTGAAGTATTGCCACTTATGTAGAGCAGTGAAGTATTGCCATTATGTAGAGCAGTGAAGTATTGCCACTTATGTAGAGCAGTGAAGTATTGCCATTATGTAGAGCAGTGAAGTATTGCAACTTATGTAGAGCAGTGAAGTATTGCCACTTATGTAGAGCAGTGAAGTATTGCCACTTATGTAGAGCAGTGAAGTATTGCAACTTATGTAGAGCAGTGAAGTATTGCCACTTATGTAGAGCAGTGAAGTATTGCCCACTTATGTAGAGCAGTGAAGTATTGCACTTATGTAGAGCAGTGAAGTATTGCCACTTATGTAGAGCAGTGAAGTATTGCCATTATGTAGAGCAGTGAAGTATTGCAACTTATGTAGAGCAGTGAAGTATTGCCATTTATGTAGAGCAGTGAAGTATTGCCACTTATGTAGAGCAGTGAAGTATTGCAACTTATGTAGAGCAGTGAAGTATTGCCACTTATGTAGAGCAGTGAAGTATTGCCACTTATGTAGAGCAGTGAAGTATTGCCATTATGTAGAGCAGTGAAGTATTGCAACTTATGTAGAGCAGTGAAGTATTGCCACTTATAACGTGAAGATGCACATGTGACAGTATTGCAATTATAGAGCGTGAAGTATTGCACTTATGTAGAGCAGTGAAGTATTGCAACTTATGTAGAGCAGTGAAGTATTGCAACTTATGTAGAGCAGTGAAGTATTGCCACTTACCACGTAGAGCAGTGCAGTATTACCACTTTCCACGTAGAGCAGTGCAGTATTGCCACTTATCACGTAGAGCAGTGCAGTATTGCCACTTATCACGTAGAGCAGTGAAGTATTGCCACTTATCACGTAGAGCAGTGAAGTATTACCATTTATCACGTAGAGCAGTGCAGTATTGCCACTTATCACGTAGAGCAGTGAAGTATTGCCACTTATCACGTAGAGCAGTGCAGTATTACCACTTATCACGTAGAGCAGCGCAGTATTGCCACTTATCACGTAGAGCAGTGCAGTATTGCCACTTATCACGTAGAGCAGTGAAGTATTACCACTTACACGTAGAGCAGTGCAGTATTGCCACTTATCACGTAGAGCAGTGAAGTATTACCACTTATCACGTAGAGCAGTGCAGTATTCCCACTATCACGTAGAGCAGTGAAGTATTACCACTTATCACGTAGAGCAGTGCAGTATTGCCACTTATCACGTAGAGCAGTGCAGTATTACCACTTATCACGTAGAGCAGTGCAGTATTGCCACTTATCACGTAGAGCAGTGCAATATTGCCACTTATCACGTGAGAGCAGGCAGTATTACCACTTATCACGTAGAGCAGTGCAGTATTGCCACTTATCACGTAGAGCAGTGCAGTATTGCCACTTATCACGTAGAGCAGTGAAGTATTACCACTTATCACGTAGAGAAGTGCAGTATTGCCACTTATCACGTAGAGCAGTGCAGTATTGCCACTTATCACGTAGAGCAGTGCAGTATTACCACTTATGACGTAGATCAGTGCAGTATTGCCACTTATCACGTAGAGCAGTGAAGTATTACCACTTATCACGTAGAGCAGTGCAGTATTACCACTTATGACGTAGAGCAGTGCAGTATTACCACTTATCCCGTGGAGCAGTGCAGTATTACCACTTATCCCGTGGAGCAGTGCAGTATTACCACTTATCCCGTGGAGCAGTGCAGTATTACCACTTATCCCGTGGAGCAGTGCAGTATTACCACTTATGACGTAGAGCAGTGCAGTATTACCACTTATCCCGTGGAGAAGTGCAGTATTACCACTTATGACGTAGAGCAGTGCAGTATTACCACTTATCCCGTGGAGAAGTGCAGTATTACCACTTATCCCGTGGAGCAGTGCAGTATTACCACTTATCCCGTGGAGCAGTGCAGTATTACCACTTATCATTATCAACAATGTTAACATCAGGCAATATAAAACAATAAGAACTATTGGTCTCAGATTAACGTGGCTTGGATGGCTTATTACATTTAAAGCTCTACTTTCTCGTATGTATTTATTTATCATCTTTTAGCCATGTGGCTTCCATTGGCCGTCTTTAAGCTGCTCTGGAACCGGTGCTGTCTGCCGGTTCTGCGAGGTGTGACAGTCACTGTTACTATGGGTTCTACTTTTTATACGATTTTTTGTTTGCAACTGGTGCTGTTTAACCTTAATAATAATAATAATAATAATAATAATAATAATAATAATAATAATAATAATAATAATAATAATAATAATATATAATAATAATAATGATAATATTATTATTATTATTATTATTATTATTATTATTATTATTATTATTATATTATTATATAAAAAAATTGAGATGTGCTGTAATAAATATTTCAGAAGCAACTTATCTTAAAATATATTTTTCAGTAGCCTGTACCTTTAATGTCGACAGAGAAATATTTTATAAGAAGGCAAGTAGTGATGATGGATACCCAAGGAAACAGGAAAACCTTTATTAGTAGAGATACAAGACTTTTCGCCCTCGTGTAGTGAGTTTTCCCCATATTCACTTGTGTTGATAACAAGAAACACAGATGTAATGAGTCTTTATTGATCTCATTAAGGATCATTGAGAATAATTAAGGATCTCAGTGTAGTGAGATTTTTATCGATATCATAAATTATACCATCCTCTCCAGGGGCGATTGATCGACCCTTATTTAATGCATTATCTATTTCACGCTTACTGAAGAGGCAATCACTTTCACCAATATTTTGGTTCGTAAAATAAATCAGAACCACTCTCAAGGTTTGTTCTAATATAAGATGGGAGAGTCTTATGCCTGGATGTTTTGGACCAGTTATTTATGTCATTGGAAACAATGTTTTGGACCAGTTATTTATGTCATTGGAAACAATGTTTTGGACCAGTTATTTATGTCATTGGAAACAATGTTTTGGACCAGTTATTTATGTCATTGGAAACAATGCTCCACGAGAAAATTGTTAAATTATCCATTATAGTTATTTACTATAACATTTTGCTCATAAGATAGTAAGGTGGTTATTCTGTAGCAGTAGTAAGCAAACACTTAAAACTAAACAACATAGTTTACTTCTTTCTTATATAAACATTTTTATGAATCGTCTTCCGGCAATGTCAGTGCAGTTCTGGGCAATATTAACAACACTCGGCTTCTCCACCATTAACTGTTTCAGCATCACTAGAAAATGTTTCTCTTGTAGGTTCGTCTTTGTGCTCAAGATGGTCATTATTTTTTATGCAAGATTGTTATGAGTTTAGATAGGGCAGGTATCTCTGGTATTTTTCCACAGAGAAGAACTGAGGTTACTAAAATTGTAATATATTTCTAATAGAAGATTACTTTCAATTGTTTTCACATTCAATTTCGTTATCCTTCCCGACCCCTCACACCAAGAAGTTACATGTCTTTCTCCTATTTAATTTTTCCTGATGAAAGCCTGGAGTCAACACAGCCAGAACCAGTAACACCAGACTCGGACATCTCATCAAGGATACTTAAAATCCACTTGTACATAAGAGGATTTCTATCATATGCATTTTGAAGGTACTTCTCACGCTGCGTCATCCACTCCTCTGACCCAGCGTAGGTAAAGTCAGGGGCATCATCAGAGCTGATCATTACTGTGGGTATGTACACAATACCAGTCCAGAGGCCAAATATGTTTCTCTTGCGGTACTCTTGTAGTAGTTCGTCGTAGGTAAAGGGAATGATGGCCTCCCGAGCCTTCATGACTTTGCTGAAGGATTCATGATACGCATGAATTAGGTGACTGAGGCTAGCTGCTCTGACCTCACTACTGATGCTTGTGTAGACGAGTGTATTGAGGTCGAGGGCGGGTGATCCACGTCGACACTCTGTAAGTCCAGGAGGATGACGTCCACCGGTCGACCTGCAGTATCGTACCTATAGAGACAACATTCACGGTATTACTGTCTTTTGTAACCTAATGTGTGCCGGCTGCTAAAATGAATTTAAGTAAATTCCAGCTTATCTTCGAGGACTTTTCTTTAGGGTAGGCAAATGACTTATTTTTTTTATAAAGGCGAAGCATGAGTATTAATAAATATATGTTTAGATTGGCTTATAGTTCAATGGAAGTCTTTATTTTAAAGCAAATTATCAATAACTGTGTTGTAACATTCTAACTTGTTCCCAAGATTTTGCAATAATTCCTTTTCAGTTGATAAAGAGACAAAGCTTTGCATTTTTTTTCACATTGAAATTTCAAAAGAAATTAAATTTCCTTAGAGCGAGAATTGTGTTCCACAGACACTGCACTTTGGAAATTCAAAAATTTACAAAGGTTAGCTATTTCACAGCAAGAATTTTTCCAAACCTTTCAGATGTAAAAAAAACTCAAAATTCTTTTAAAAATAAACTTTAAAGGGTTTTTTTTTTAACATGTAAAAAATCTTTTGTGATTTTTTTGGTAAAAAATATCAGTGTTAAATTATTTCGTGACTAACGAAAAATCTGGAAATTTGTTCTTAACTACAAGAAGGGGAAAGGTTTAAAATTTTTAAGGAATCTAATAAAAACCAGTTGGAAATGTGATAATAAACCCATTAATATTATTTTATTTAGGATGCTGCCAAGGTGATCTCCAAATTGCAGTGAGGGGCAGGAGACATCTAGGGGGGTAAGGAGGGGGAGGGGGAAATCTGGGGTATATGAGGGGGAGGGGACATCTAGGGGAGTAGTGAGGGGCAGGATACATCAGGGGGGATAGTGAGGGGGGGTACATTAGGGGATATGAGGGGGAGGAATAAATCTAGGGGTTTGAGGGGGGGCAGGGGACATCTGGGGGGAGTATGAGGGGGAGGAGACATCTAGGGGGGATAGGAGGGGCAGGATACTCAGGGGGGATTTTGAGGGGGAGACATCTAGGGGGGGGTGTGAGGGGTAGGGGTACATCTCGGGGGTAATAGGTGGGGGGAAATTACATCTGGGGGAGTTTGAGGGGTAGGGGTACACTAGGGGGTATAGTGAGGGGTGGGGACATCTAGGGGTAGTATGGGGAGGGTTACATTAGGGGGGAGTTAAAAGAGGGTAGGGACATCTAGGGGTAGATAGGGGTAGGGTTACATCAGGGGGGATAAGAGGGGTAGGGGTACATCTCGGGGGGAAAAGGGGGGGTAAGTTACATCTAGGGGTATAGTGAGGGGGAGGGGGAAATCAGGGGGGAGTAGGAGAAAAAAGGGTACATCAGGGGGTAGTAGGAGGGTAGGGGTAAAAGGGGGGAGTAAAGGGGTAGGGGGACATTGAGGAGTAGTGAGGGGTAGGGACATCTAGGGGGGAGAAATGAGGGGAGGGGGACTCCGGGGGTAAATAGTGTGGGGGAGAGTTAATCTAGGGGGGAGTAGGAGGGGAGGGGGAATCTAGGGGTAGTAGTGAGGGGGAGGGGTTTCATCTAGGGGGGAGTAAGGGGAGGGGTACATCTAGGAGGTAGTATGAGGGTGGGGTACATCTAGGGGGGAGTAGGAGGGGGGGGGGTACTCTAGGGGGGAGTGGAGGGGTAGGGGGAAATCTAGGGGGTAGTATGAGGGGTGGGTTACATCTAGGGGTAGTATGAGGGGGAGGGTACATTTTAGGGGGTAGTAGTGAGGGGTAGGGGGCATCAGGGGGTTTTTGGTGGGGGAGGGGGACATCAGGGTAGTGAGGGGGAGGGGTACATCTGGGGGGAGTAGGAGGGTAGGGTACCTAGGGGGTAGTAGTAGGGGAGGGGTACATTTTTCAGTTAGCCCGTTCCATAACCTTACCAGTAACCCGGTACCCGTAGATACTCCCCACCAAACCCTCTGCGTGAAAACATTGCTGTTTATTCATATTTCTCGACCAAGCAGGGTTTCAAACACCCCTCACCCCGTAGGCATTTGACAGCGAAGATAGGACAGAGAAGGCGGTCGGGTGTTGCGCTTCCCCAAATTCCCCTTATAATTAACTACAAACCACCTACGTGAGTATTTTTTCCCCAAACCCCGTTTTTCAAACCCACAGACACATCCGGGGGAAAAGTGGGGGGTAGGGGTTTTAACTAGGGAGTAGTAGTGAGGGGTAGGGGTACATCTTAGGGTGGTAGTGAGGGATAGGGGTACATCTAGGGGTAGTAGTGAGGAGTAGGGGTACATCTTAGGGGTGGTAGTGATGGGTAGGGGTACATCTAGGGGGTAGTAGTGAGGGGTAGGGGTACATCTAGGGGGTAGCAGTGAGGGATAGGGGTACATCTAGGGGGTAGTAATGAGGGGGTAGGGGTACATCTTAGGGATAGTAGTGAGGGGTAGGGGTACATCTAGGGAGTAGTAGTAAGGGGTAGGGGTACATCTAAGGGGTAGTAATGAAGGAGGGGCAACAAGGAGTGTCCTCAGCCTCCACTGCCCATATCACTTTCACTGATGACAACAAATATCACTGAGGAAAAGTTAAATCACCAGAATGATTTTCTCAGTATATTATAATGATTTAAATCCTACTTATATAGTTTCGAGAAAAAAAAATGTGTTAGTGTAATGTGAGCTAATAGTATCCATCTTATGTCTGGTATATAATTTTAGCCTATCTGAGGGTGGACGATGGTGCGAGAAGAACAATATTGTGCATGCCAAGGACAGGTTGCCATGTGACTCAACGCGACTTTCTAACGAGTTTCTAAAGTCTGGGTTGTTTCAGACTGAAATAATATTTAACTGAAATGGGTATTTTCGTTCTGAGGGGAAGATTTTTTTAAATGTAAGCGACGCCTAACTTGCCTCTTACGAGTACGCGCCACTGGTAAGTTCACATTTTTGTAAAAGAACTCTGTGAGACCCGAGAGGTATCGGAGGTACCTCTCGGGTCTCTTATTTAACACAGAAGGCCTAGAAGCTGTACCTCAGAATCCTCCAAAGGGAGGAGTCAGCTTAACTCCCCAAGAGGCCTCTGGGATATAATTCGTCCCTCTCAAGAGATCCAGTCAAGAAGCACAGGAGCTGTAGAGCAACATTTTCAAGACGCTCATTACTAGTAATCTCTTAAATCAGTACCCCTGAAGGGAGCTTTCTTGAAGCTGGTGAGGGGCTCTTGATCTAAGGAATTGGATTTGTTCCCCAGTTCCCTGAATTGAGCATAATTGCCTTCTATTTTCACCCCCCTTCCCCTACAGGCGCTGTATGATCCCTACAGGTTTAGCGCCCCCATGATTATAATCTTAATCAATTGCAGAGGCAACTGTTTAATTAATCTTCTCATCAGGCCCAGTCAAATGCTACAAAATTATGGACCCATTCAAACGAAATTCGGCGCCATATGTCTGTAGAAACTTTCCACACTAAAGTTTTTCGTAGTTAATATTGCTTCTGTATCACGGAAACAAATAGACTGGTATATTGGTATATATGTAACTTAGAGCGGTTCCTCTCATATGCAGGCAGATGCCTAACGCGTCGGTCTGGAGTTGTAAGACTCTCTGATCGCGGGTTCTAACCCCGCCCGTGGTATGGTTTAAGCAGATATATTAAGAATGCAGCATTTAAAAAAACTTCTAAGTAAAAGTTTGATTAAAATTATTGTCAAGTGTAAGATAACAATGAATATCTCTTAAATAGCTAAGGCAAATTACGTAAGTTATGCAGTATAGAACACTCTCTGTAAGAGCTGAGTCAGAGCCTTGGGGAGACACTGTGTGTAGAACACTCTCTGTAAGAGCTGAGTCAGAGCCTGGGGGAGACACTGTGTGTAGAACACTCTCTGTAAGAGCTGAGTCAGAGCCTGGGGGGAGACACTGTGTGTAGAACACTCTCTGTAAGAGCTGAGTCAGAGCCTGGGGGAGACACTGTGTGCAGAACACTCTCTGTAAGAGCTGAGTCAGAGCCTGGGGGAGACACTGTGTGTAGAACACTCTCTGTAAGAGCTGACTCAGAGCCTTGGGGAGACACTGTGTGTAGAACACTCTCTGTAAGAGCTGAGTCAGAGCTTGGGGAAGTGAGACACTGTGTGTGAGAACCTCCTGTAAGAAGCTGAGTCAGAGCTGGGGGGAGACACTGTGTGCAGAACACTCTCTGTAAGAGCTGAGTCAGAGTCCTGGGGGAGACACTGTGTGCAAACTCTCTGTAAGAGCTGAGTCAGAGCCTGGGGGAGACACTGTGTGTAGAACACTCTCTGTAAGAGCTGAGTCAGAGCCTGGGGGAGACACTGTGTGTAGAACACTCTGTAAGAGCTGAGTCAGAGCCTTGGGGAGACACTGTGTGTAGAACACTCTCTGTAAGAGCTGAGTCAGAGCCTGGGGGAGACACTGTGTGTAGAACACTCTCTGTAAGAGCTGAGTCAGAGCCTGGGGGAGACACTGTGTGCAGAACACTCTCTGTAAGAGCTGAGTCAGAGCCTGGGGGGAGACACTGTGTGTAGAACACTCTCTGTAAGAGCTGAGTCAGAGCCTTGGGGAGACACTGTGTGTAGAACACTCTCTGTAAGAGCTGAGTCAGAGCCTTGGGAGACACTGTGTGTAGAAACACTCTCTGTAAGAGCTGAGTCAGAGCCTGGGGGAGACACTGTGTGCAGAACACTCTCTGTAAGAGCTGAGTCAGAGCCTGGGGGAGACAGTGTGTGCAGAACACTCTCTGTAGAAGCTGAGTCCAGAGCCTGGGGAGACAGTGTGTGCAGAACACTCTTGTAAGAGCTGAGTCAGGCCTGGGGGAGACACTGTGTGTAGAACACTCTCTGTAAGAGCTGAGTCAAGCCTGGGGGGAGACACTGTGTGTAGAACCTCTCTGTAAGAGCTGAGTCAGAGCCTGGGGGGGAGACACTGTGTGTAGAACACTCTCTGTAAGAGCTGAGCAGAGCCTGGGGGGAGACACTGTGTGTAGAACACTCTCTGTAAGAGTGGTCAGAGCCTGGGGGGAGACACTGTGTGTAGAACACTCTCTGTAAGAGCTGAGTCAGAGCCTGGGGGGGAGACACTGTGTGTAGAACACTCTCTGTAAGAGCTGAGTCAGAGCCTGGGGGGAGACACTGTGTGTAGAACACTCTGTAAGAGCTGAGTCAGAGCCTGGGGGGAGACACTGTGTGTAGAACACTCTCTGTAAGAGCTGAGTCAGAGCCTGGGGGGAGACACTGTGTGTAGAAACATCTCTGTAAGAGCTGAGTCAGAGCCTGGGGGAGACACTGTGTGTGAGAAACACTCTCTGTAAGAGCTGAGTTAGAGCCTGGGGGGAGACACTGTGTGTAGAACACTCTCTGTAAGAGCTGAGTCAGAGCCTGGGGGGAGACACTGTGTGTAGAACACTCTCTGTAAGAGCTGAGTCAGAGCCTGGGGAGAACACTGTGTGTAGAACACTCTCTGTAAGAGCTGAGTCAGAGCCTGGGGGGAGACACTGTGTGTAGAACACTCTCTGTAAGAGCTGAGTCAGAGCCTGGGGGAGACACTGTGTGTAGAACACTCTCTGTAAGAGCTGAGTCAGAGCCTGGGGGGAGACACTGTGTGTAGAACACTCTGTAAGAGCTGAGTCAGAGATTGGGGGAGACACTGTGTGTAGAACACTTTCTGTAAGAGCCAAGATAGTGCCTGGGGAAGACAGTGTCTACAAACACGATATTCTTAAGGAATTATTGTCAATGAAAAATAAATTAATTTACAAACAACGTAGATTTTGATGTTTGTGAAAAATTCGATCCAGGGGACTAAACTAAATTTCCACTTCCTTCATTCCCCAGGCGCTGTATGACCCCTACGAGTTTAGCGCTTACCCATAAATAATTTTTTTTTTCTTCAGAAAACCCTGTTGTATTTTATTTATTTACTAATATAAAATAAAATTTCTTTATATTGTACAATCACAAAAATGCGCTTAAGAATCAAACTCTTGGAATAATATGAAAGACTATACAAACATGGACACCATGCCTAGCCCTTCTAGGGCAGGGTAGGTGCCTGAGCCCGAGCTTACAGCTCACAAGACTGTCATTCCCATTAGCTCCCCTGGGGCGGGGATGGCAGACTAGAGAGGCCTAGCTTGTGGCTAGGCCTGGGGACAGTTGGTCTCAAAGATGAGGAGGTACTTGTGCCTCCTCCCATGGGAGACTTAGGTCTCAGACACTCCCTAAAGAGGGAGCCAAGGCCGGGCCACCACTTGGAAAAGGCCCGGGCAGGGAGAGTACCGGCGAATCTTTAATAATAAATAATAATGTACAAACGTTTAGGAGTAATGTTTTATGATTCAAGTTCCCGCGAAAAGTCCTTTTTTGATTATAATTACAGCAAAAACTATTAATTTAAATTTTTAATATGCAGGTCAAGATTCTGTAAGGCTCACCTGAAGAGGAAATTGTTAGTCCAGCAGTCTCCGTGGCACAGGACTTCAAACGGAGGCTGCGTCTTAATTTGCTCCTCGAAGACGTCCAGACACCTGGGAACCACCAGATCCTTCAGCCAGGCTGCGCTCTCCTCGTAACCCTCTGCTGTCTCCAACACTTTTACCGTAACGTTAAAGTCCTCCTGTAGTATCTTTCCAACTTGTAACTCAGCCTCCTGAGAATAGTTGTGCCAGTCCTTCCCCAAGAATGAGTACTCCTCTACTAGGCTTCCTGATGGAAGGTGGGCCTGAAGGAGGTAGGAGGCGGCGTGAATCCTGGCGAGCTCCAGGAAGACCAGTTCAGCATGGGCGACATCCAGACCGCGTTTACGATCAGCCATTTTGAACTCTAGGTAGCTTAGATCTTCCAAGATGAGGACTTCTTCATTTTCTTCCAAACTGTGGAAAATATACCGAGGCAGCCTTAGAGGCTCTAGACTGGCTGCCTGTAGCTCAGTATTGAGCGCTGGTAACAACATACTGTAGAACAGGCACTCTTTCTCATAGCTCATATTCATAAACTCCTTCAAATCATCTCCAAAAGCGTTTTTCAGTTTAACGACATATGATACCTCGAGGCTTTGATGATCTTGGGAGAAAGACAGTTTTAGTTGCTTCACAGAGCACATGAAGTTATCGCCCTTCTTGGTGAAATCCTCAGTGCTCCATGAGAGCAGGTTAGCCCCTGTGCCTTTGTCCCGTCTCAGAGCTTCCTTCACCTGTGCCTCTGTCACCTGAGCTTCATTCACCTGTACCTCTGTCATCCGAGCTTCCGTTTCTTGCGACTGTAGTGTCTGGCTAACGAAGTTTCCTACCTCTTTCTGTGTAGCTGTATCAGTCACTGTAAGAGTAAGAATAATGCATTAGAATGAAAACTCAATGCTACTTAGATATGTCAGCGCATAAAGTGACACATTCTACAGAATCTGAATATTCCCTTGAAGCGTTCAAATCTAAAGTATATAAAAATATATTTTGTAGACAAATATATTTGGTTGGAAAATTTGTTATAAAATTTGTTACTCATGCATTTACTAGACGGTCGTTTCCATTGCAATAATTAACCTGCTACGGTTCATAAAAGCTAAATACAGATTAAGAGAGATTTAATTTGTGTTTTCAAATTACCAATGACTATTGAAGACCTTTAGATCTCCCCAGCGAACCTGCATACTTTACTGAGCCGATGTTGTTCTAGTTCCCCAAGGGTGAGTACAGGCTGTGGAGGCTGGGGCCGGAGATGTCATCTCTGGCCCCATGATTGTAATGGCAATAGCAGATTCTGATAGCAGGATTATTAAAGCTTGCAGCAATGCTGAACAGAACAGAAAATATTTAGCATCAGTTATTCTGCAATACTCAGTGCAGAAAATATTTAATTCATGTGAGTTCAGTGGTTTAATATACAACCCCTTCCCAAGTCAAGTGTTTTTTTTATTGTGTTAAGATAAGATAAGATAAGATTTCGTTCGGATTTTTAACCCCGGAGGGTTAGCCACCCAGGATAACCCAAGAAAGTCAGTGCGTCATCGAGGACTGTCTAACTTATTTCCATTGGGGTCCTTAATCTTGTCCCCCAGGATGCGACCCACACCAGTCGACTAACACCCAGGTACCTATTTGCTGCTAGGTGAACAGGACAACAGGTGTAAGGAAACGTGTCGAATGTTTCCACCCGCCGGGAATCGAACCCGGGCCCTCCGTGTGTGAAGCGGGAGCTTTAGCCACCAGGCCACCGGGGCTCTTGCCCCTCATCTTCGTTGTCGTGGCTTTTAGAATGTGGCTTGGCTTCGACTGTTACTAATGGACGTCACCCTGTGTCGCTCCCTTAAATGCTGTCATTACTGTTGAAACCTTTCTGGCAGACACGCGTTTATAAACCCTCTCCAACACTGCTGCTGACATCATCGCCGCCCTTGCTGTGACACCACCTCGACGCTGCTGCTGCTGACACCACCTCAACGCTGCTGCTGAAGCCGATGCTTACACTGTCCACGGTGACAATATCTAACCGTCTAATCTGATGTCTAGTTTTCAAACAGTGAAGAGCACATTTTCACAACTTTCACTGATGCAATTCATGAGGCGAGACTGCGATATCTATTAGAGGAGTCCATCCATGCCCTCAGTGAAGACATATCCTTCACTACAGTTGTTTATATTGTATAAAAAGACACTGCATTCAGCTTGTAAGGAAAGTTGTCCTGTGTGACAACGTTGTGGTAACACTCATTGGGTTCAGGACGTTTTAAATCGTTTTTTGTATTCTTCCTAACAGTACGTACTTCTAAAACATTTTTATGAATTCTTGTAAACATTACTATGCATGAAATGTGTGTGCATATATATATATATATATATATATATTATATATATATATATATATATATATATATATATATATATATATATATATATATATATATATATATATATATATATATATATATGTCGTGCCAAATATGTAAAACTGGTCAATTAGCAAGAACTCATTTAAAATTAAGTCCTTTCTGAAATTTTCTCTTATACGTTTAAAGATATATTTTTTCATTAATGTTAATGTAAAAAATTTTAATTTTGCACCAAAAGAATCTTAGAAAACTTACCTAACCTTATTATAACAAGTGCAATTTATTTTAGCCTAACCCAACTAAATATATTTTAAATACGTTTAAAGTAATTTAATACTAAACAAACACAAACAAAATATTTTTTTACGTTGGGTTTAGAATGTTTGGCGAAAATTTTGCATACACAAATTTTCACGTCCTATATGGCAAGATGAGCGTTGCTATTTAAGCCCAAGATGGCAAGTTTCCTATTGGCACGAAATTTTTTTATATTATTTATATATATATATTAATATATTATTTTTTAAAAATATTATTTTATATATATTTTTATATTTATATTGAAATTGACTCAGTGAGGGCGTGAAAACAGGGGGACGCTGTCCCCCCCTTTTCTTTTGTTTGGTCATCAAGGAAGTACGAAGCACTTCCAGCGAGCTCAAGGTTTCCCTGGACGAGGGTACACTACCTGGAAAAAAACAAAATTTTCCCCTAGAAGACATCATTTAAAATTAAAGAATGGGAGAAGCGGGCCTTTTTTAAACCCAAAAAATGTGAAATGTTTCTACCAAAAAAACAGATGACCCAAAATATTAGGTGTTTACCAGAAGCAGATCATTGACCCGCAATTGCACTCCCCTTGGTGTCCTCTTGGGCCCCAATGCCATCGATCTGACCCTAAAAAAAAAAAAAGTCTCAGACCCGGCAAGGAAAGCAGATAAAAGAACGACACACATGAGGCCTTTACCTATCACCAGGTCCCTGTCAATCCCAAAACTTACTATTTTGGATGCTCCCAGCCTTAGCAGTCCAAAATCAAAGGGAAAATGACTCTTCCTTAAAACCCTGCTAGAGAGTATATTGAAACTTTCCCCTTTAAAATGGACAGTGGTTGCAAGCCTCGCTTTGGTTAGGCTTGGGAGTGGGAGTACGCAGTCCTCCCCGATTGTTCTACCAGCTTTCCTATCCCCTTTCCCTAGCATCAAACGAGTTGATAAGACAAATTCTTTCCCGTAACCCCATGACTCGCAGGAATACAGGAACCAGCTATGCCAGTACCATCACCAATGGGAGACTCTTGCTGTCCAGCACCAAAACCCCCGTCGACTGGCTACAAACAGTCAAGCTGGGATGGCCGATCCTGAAAAAGGTGTTGCCAAAATGCTCAGGGCTGCAACATGATGGGAGATGCCCATTTCCAGGCTGTGGCGCAATCATTCGGGACTTCCTCCAAACAGTTCCCATTTTGGCAATGGGGAAACCGACTCGACCCCAAAACCCCCCGTATTGCGTGGCTCTGCGTCTTGCTGCCCCAATTTACACGAATTACGTTTTGCAGCGAAGGCAAGCAGGGCCAAAGCGGTCACATGGTCTTAACTGTTCCAAAACCAAGGGCTGGCATGCAAGACACAAAGAGGACAAAGCCCATCATAAAGAAAAACCCTTGCTACAGCTGGATGCCCAGCCGAGAGGGGGGCCCCGATCACTAGCAGCCAACAATACCCAAAAACCCAGTAAACCGCCCCGACGAGATCACCATCTTCCCTTGGGAAGAATGGCAAGCTCTTAGTACGGGACTATACCTGTATGTCCACGCTGGCTGACACCTATATCCATCACAGTGTGGGGCGACAGGGAGGAGCTGTGACCACAGGGGGGAGTACAAGATCAGCAAGTACAGGGACATAAGCCAACCGTATCAATTGTCCCAGTGGAATCAGAGACCTTGGGGTCATGGGGAAAAAAATGCCACACGTTTCCTTAAAGAATTGGGCTCCAGACTCATCGACACCAAACCCGGGACCAAGGGCAGCCCCTTTCATGTTCCAGCGCCTCAACGTGGCCATCCAGAGGGGAAATGCTTGCTGCACACTTGGCTCGTGTTCGGCTTCGGAGGAGCTGAAGGGAAAATTCATGATCTTTAACAAAATTGTAAAATTGTTTTTCATGTTTGTGTTTTCTGTAAATGTATTCTGTTTATTAATAAATGTTCACATAGAATATAAAATATAGGAGGTGGTAGAAGAAAATATTCAAACAGCTCCGGGGAGAACCTTGAGCTTTCCATGAGGTACGTTTATTGTCTTCTCTGAGGATGAGGGTCCTCAATCCAGCTATAGAGGTGGTACTTCCATATTTTATATATATATATATATATATTATATATATATATATAATATATTATATATATATATATATTTTAACAAGTCGGCCGTCTCCCCCCGAGGCAGGGTGACAACAAAAAAGAAAGAAAATCCCCCGAAAGAAAATACTTTTTATCATCATTCAAACTTTCACCTCACTCAAACATAATCACTGTTTTTGCTGAGGTGATCAAACACAAAAAAGTTTAGAAGCATATACGTATAAAGATACACAACCTATCCTTCCAGACTGCTAATATCCCGAACCCCTCCTTTAGAGTGCAGGCACTGTACGTCCCATTTCCAGGACTCAAGTCCGGCTATTAAAAAAAACCGGTTTCCCGAATCCCTCAAAAATATTACCCTCCCCAACTCCAACGATCGTGGCCCTCACATCCCAAATTGTCTCCATTCACTCCTACAAACACGCTCATGCACGCCTGGGAAAGTCCAAGCCCCTCCCCACAAAACCCCCTTCCCCCCTCCACCTTTTCGAGGACGACCCCTACCCGCCTTCCTTTACGATTTAATGTCTCCATGTCATTTTTTGGGGACCCATTCCCCCTTAAATGACCAAGCCCCCTAAAACCCCCCTCTTCACCCCTCTGTATATTTTTATAACTCCACCCCTTCTCTAATTTCCCCAACTCCAAATTTTTCAAATATTTACACCACACTTTGCCCTTAGCAGGACATCCCCCTGCCCCCAACCCCCTCCTGGGGCCTGCATTTACCACCCAAGCTTCACACCATTAAAGTGTTGGTACTACTATACTTTCTACTTCCCCTTCTTTGCTCCATAAATAATTTTTTTTGACTCCTTATCCCCAAAAGCACCCCCCTTTTTTCCTCATCATTTTCTTTTTTTCCTCTCCTTCATAAACCCATCCGCCGACACGTCAACTCCCAAAGTATCTAAAAAACATTCACTTCTTCCCATACTCCTCCCCCCAATTTTGAAACCCAATTTTTTTTTATCTAAATCATTTGAACCCTCATCCCCTTACTCTTTTCTAGTTCACATTTTCCCTTAACACCCCCCAAATCCCCACTAACCCTTTTCAATTTTTCTTAAATCTCCCAGGGTATCATCAAAAAAAAAATAACTGTGTCAATTCCCATTTTATTTGTTCCCAATTTTGTCCCACCCCCCTCCCGAACCCTAGATTTATTTCCTTACAACCCCTCTTTTTAAAAAAATTAAACCCCTCCCTTAAACCCCTTTTACCCAAAGGGTTTTTCCCCTTTTTAACCCCTCTAATACATACCCCAAAAAAAAAATTTAACTTTCCCCCTTCCCCAAACCCCCCCCTCCCCTTTTATTTTGGCCTTTTTTAAATCCTTTAAAGCAATAAAAACTTCCCTACCTTTATTTAAAAACTGGAAAATTTTCCCTTTAATGTTAACACTCCAAACCCCCCCACCAAAACTTCCCCCCCCCCAAAACCAATTCTTTTTCCTTTTTTTAATTTTTTAAAACCCCAAACTTTTCCCGGTATACTCAGTAAACTTATTACTCTATATTTTTTACATTCTCTTTTGTCCCCCTTCCCTTTATATAAAGGGACTATACATGCTCTCTGTCGATCTCTAGGTACCTTCCCCTCTTTCATACATTTATTAAACAAAAGTACCAACCACTCCAACACTATATCCCCCCCTGCTTTTAACATTTCTGTCATGATCCCATCAGTTCCAGCTGCTTTACCCCCTTTCATTCTACGTAATGCCTCACGTACCTCCCCCACACTCACATTCTGTTCTTCACTCCTAAGATGGTATACCTCCCTGGCCAGTGCATGAAATTACCTCCTCCCTTTCTTCCTCAACATTTAAAAGTTCCTCAAAATATTCTCGCCATCTACCTAATACCTCCCTCTCCCCATCTACTAACTTCCCTACTCTGTTTTTAACTGACAAATCCATACTTTCCCTAGGCTTTCTTAACTTGTTTAACTCACTCCAAATTTTTTTCTCATTTTCATTAAAATTTCTTGACAGTGCCTCTCCCACTCTTTCATTTGCTCTCCTTTTGCACTCTCTCACCACTCTCTTCACCTTTCTTTTACTCTCTATATACTCTGCTCTTCTACAACACTTCTGCTTTGTAAAAACCTCTCATAAGCTAACTTTTTCTCTTTTATCACACCCTTTACTTCATCATTCCACCAATCACTCCTCTTTCCTCCTGCACCCACCCTCCTATAACCACAAACTTCTGCCCCACATTCTAATACTGCATTTTTAAAACTCATCGAACCCAGTCTTCAAGCTCGCACTGGACAAGCACCTAAAGTCGGTTCCTGACCAGCCGGGCTGTGGCTCGTACGTTGGTTTGCGTGCAGCCAGCAGCAACAGCCTGGTTGATCAGGCTCTGATCCACCAGGAGGCCTGGTCACAGACCGGGCCGCGGGGGCGTTAACCCCAGGAACTCTCTCCAGGTAAACTCCAGGTAAACCCTCTTCAACCCTCCCCCCCCACTACTCATCTTTGCACTAGCCCACCTTTGTGCCAATAGTCGCTTATGTCTCAACCGAACTTCCTCCTCCCTTAGTTTATACATTTTCACTTCCCTCCTACTTGTTGTTGCCACCTTCCTCTTGTCCCATCTACCTTTTACTCTAACTGTAGCTACAACTATATAATGATCCGATATATCAGTTGCCCCTCTATAAACATGTACATCCTGGAGCCTACCCAACAACCTTTTATCCACCAACACATAATCTAACAAACCACTTTCATTACGTGCTACATCATACCTTGTATATTTATTTATCCTCTTTTTCATAATATATATATATATATATATATATATATATATATATAATATATATTATATATATATATATATATATATTATATTTATATATATATATATATATATATATATAACAAAATGATAGAGGAAAGTGTTGTAAGTAAATTAGTAGAAGGGTCAAGGCGAGGTGCCCACGAGTGTACACAGATCAAGCAACCAATAATAATAATAATAACTGACATTTGTTTACAAACTAACAAGAAAAATTCCAGGAACTGCAGTGCGTGTGTAAACCTATACTTATATAAGTGGCTGAGGGCAGCAACAGTGTGTTACTACACTCATATATGTGGCTGAGGGCAGCAGCAGTGTGTTACTACACTCATATATGTGGCTGAGGGCAGCAGCAGTGTGTTACTACACTCATATATGTGGCTGAGGGCAGCAGCAGTGTGTTACTACACTCATATATGTGGCTGAGGGCAGCAGCAGTATGTTACTACTCAGCTTTCCTTTTAAGACTGTGATCTGTTAATTAACCTTGAGTTAAACACGGGTGTGTTTATTGGTACCTTTATTTTCAAAACATTTCGCCTGGACAGCAGGACTCTTCAGTCGAATGGAAAAGCGATTTTGAGATGGTCAGCTGATGTTTAACTTTTCTGACTGAACCAGAAGAAGGGAAATAAGACACATGTGAAACAGTTAGGAATCTTTAATCAAAAGAGATATTTCGTTCATGATACATTATATGTAGCGTGTGTGGGTATTTATTCTAATTGTCGGGTTTGTAAATCAATATTATTATGTTGTAGTAGACAGACTTAGGCTTAGTTTCAAGTACTTCGGGCATTTGGCACATACACATATGATGATCAAACTAAATGCAATGTGGTCAGCCTTATGGTCACCGTTTTGAACACTATGTACTTCATTATCTGCTTACTGAGGAATATAGAGATTGACAGTAAAATAACCTATGTGATACGTTCTGATATCTTATTAAAGAAAATTAAATATCAGACTTGTGTTAAACGTTTTGAGACCGAGTTCCTAAGCCTTTTGTGAATCCATATGCTCTTGGGTTACCGTCCACAGGATGGATATAAGATCTAATCTGTTGTTCCATACATTCTGGTGTCCCCGTCATCTAGTCACAGACCTTGTAGGTTTATGCTTGGTAGCGAGTGAAGCGAGAGAGCGGATATGCTCGATGACTGTTGATTGACTGTGTGTACTCACCTAATTGTGGTTGCAGGGGTCGATTCATAGTTCCTGGCACCGCCTCTTCACTGGCCGCTACTGAGTCACTCTTCCTGCTCCATGAGCTTTATCATACCTCTTCTTAAAGCTATGTATGGATCCTGCCTCCACTATATCGCTTCCCAGACTATTCCACTGACAACTTTGTGACTGAAGAAATACTTCCTAACATCACTGTGATTCATCTGTGTCTTCTGCGTGTGTGTATATATGTGCGTGCGTGTGTATGTGTGTGTGTATCTGCGTGTGTGTGTATGTGTGTGCATCAGTTTCCAACCTCTCTGTCTCTCTCAGTTATATCAAATACTCCCAGTATTTTGTACAGACTTATCATATCACCTCTAGTCTTCTATCCAGCATTGTTCAGTTCCTTTAGTCTCTAGTCACAGGTCACTACACTTCGCTCCAGGGAGTCTCTCTGCAGCTCTCTGTAGTTCCTCCACTTTCTTGACATAACTTATTAGGTAAGGGTTCCAGTGTGGTGGTTTGTACTCCAAGATGGGAGTGAGGTAAACAGAATATAGGATCATAAATTATTCTTTTGTTGAGATTCCTGAAATTTGAGTGTATTCACTACATAGGTTATTCTGATAGTGAGTGAGAGGCTCTGTCGATATGCTTCCTACTATGCTCCTCACGAGGTCCTTGTTAAGAGATTTTAAATCACTGTCCCCCGAACATGCACTCAAGTTTCCGTTCGACCCTATTCCCAATTGCTCATAGCTTTGATTAGGTTCAATTCATTTGGGGTTAACTCATGTAAGGTGAATAACAGATCCAGCCATAGTGGTACTTCACATATTTGCTGACCATCAGTGCCACTCCTCTCGGATGTTGCTCTGGCATGAACAAGTGTTATCTCATGATAAAAGTCACCATAAAGACGTGCTTCAGTACTCCCTCTCCACACCCCTCCCCTCACCCTACCCGCCAGCAGTCATCATAATAACTTCAGTACTCCCTCTCCACACCCCTCCCCTCACCCTACCCGCCAGCAATCATAATAACTTCAGTACTCCCTCTCCACACCCCTCCCCTCACCCTACCCGCCAGCAGTCATCATAACTTCAGTACTCCCTCTCGCAATTTCTTCCTTACTGTACAAGTAAATTTCAGCCGTAATGACACGTGTAGTTGATAGGCTTTAAAACTAACCGACTAAATGTATCAGGAGGTACACAGCTGTGTATACCCCGAGAGGTATGTACCTCGGTGTTTTGTACACTAAGTTTACATTAATCTCTTTTAGGGAGTTAAGCATTCTTGACGTTAGTGTACAGATGACATGCAGCATTAATAACCCAGGTGCGGTTGGTAACCTCTAATACTAATAACCTTCACTAACTTATATGGGAGTTGATAACTTACTGTGTGTTATTGACTTGATGTGTGACTATGTGAATTACTAAATTACCGTATTAATTATCAACTTATTAAGGGAGTTAGTAGCTTTCTGTATGCGTTATTAACATGATGTTTACATAAGTGGCTACTGAAGCACAACACAACACTTACTTGTTGCTTCTACAAGATGCTGCTTCTCGCTCCGGAACCTCAGTTCTTGGTCTTGCAGCCTCGTGGAAATACTGCTGATGCAATTCGCGTAATATTTAGCACTAAATTACTAACTGCAAGCGAGGAGTGAAGCTGGAAAAAAAAAAAACATGGGTGAGCTTGGATGTATGTGCTTTGGTTGCCCGGGCTGAAGTGATGTTATCACTAGCGATCTGCCCTCTGGTGGGGATTTAGTGCGATATACAGGAAATATACTGTTGCCCGGCCCATGCAGGTAATTATTTCTATTGTGACATCTAACTTATTTAATTAGTTTGTTAGGTATGTCGGGTGCACGAGGGGCACTATGTGAGTCAGAACATTTGCGGTCAAGAATATTTTTAATCCCTTAAATGAGGATTAAAGTAATCTCTCAGTGTGTTTGTGTATATACACTGAGAGATACACATTTCTCGATTTATATAATCTATGTTTTGACGAATATCATTTCTGTCCTCCATAATAAGGGTGTTATCATCCTACTTCTTTCCAAAATAGAATGAAGACTTATAAATCTTCTACATGCTAGAATGATCACTTATGTGTAATATGTGTATTTTGATGAGAATAGGTAATTTAGATGTCATTTCAATTATTTCTCATTCTCATTTATTGCATATTCCTCTTATTGTCCTTCATCTCATTCATTTTCCTTCTCCCCGTGTATCCTTTCATAATTCTTTCTCTTTCTCTCCCTCCCTTTCTCTCTCTAATTATCTTGAAAGGTTTATAATGAAAGATTATATCACTAAATGTTACAAATGAAGGCTCGGTCTAACTTAACGGGATGTGTACACGGTCTGAACCTTCACATCTGAGGCAGAAAATTGATCAATGGACTCAAGTTGAATACCTTCCTGTTGAAAGAGTAAACAAGGAGCAAGTGTGTAACTGCTGGCAGATGTGTAAAAGATGCACGCAGCTCTACACCTGTCCCTCCGTGGCACACACCTGCAGCATCACACCTGAAGCATCACACCTGCATCATCACACCTGCAGCATCACACCTGCATTATCACACTTGCAGCATCACACCTGAAGCATCACACCTGCAGTTTCACACCCACAGCATCACACCCGCAGCGTTACATCCGCAGCATCACACCTGAAGCATCACACCTGAAGCATCACACCTGAAGCATCACACCTGAAGCATCACACCTGGGATCACTAACTTTCTCTCAAAGCTGCAATATTAATTTTTAAACTGTTACTTTTCATTTGAGGTATGTTGCTTCTTGTGCCCAGTCTTTTCCATTCGTAGGGAGTGATTTTTGTGTGCAGATTTGGGACCAGTCCCTCTAGGATTTTCCAGGTGTAGATTATGATGTATCACTCGTCAAGAGACTCCAAGCGTTCCCATTTTTTATTTAATTCATGTTAAGCGCTAGACCCATGTGGGTCATTCAGCGCAAGACGTAATAGAGGCTCGATCCTCCGTCTGCTGAGCGCCAGACAGACGCGCTTCCTATGTTCTCTGAACATTCTCTATATCTCCGATTTCACCTACCTTGAATGGAGCTGTTATTGTACAGCAGTATTCCAGCCTAGAGGAAACCAATGATTTGAAAAGGATCATCATTGGCTTGGCATCCCTTGTTGTGACAATGTAGTGATCCTTGAAAGTGAGATCCTCTGACATCACTCCCAAGTCCTTCACACTACTTTGCCGCTCTATTGTATGATTAGAGTTTGTAGTATACTCAGTTGTAGCTATTATATCCTCCAGTTTTCCATAACGAAGCAGTCGAAATTTGTCCTCATTGAACATCATATCGTTTTCCGTTGCCCATTGAAAAACCAGGTTTATATCTGCTTGGGGATTTACCGTGTCCTCAATGGATGACGGTCTCGTGCAGATTCTAGTATTGTCTGCAAAGCATGACACGGTGCTATGGTTTACATCTTTATGTCTAATATGAGAATAAGGAACATAATGGGAGCGAGTGCTGTGCCTTATGGCACAGTTTTTCACTGTGGCAGCCTCCGACTTAACTGTGTTTTCCACTACTCTTTATGTTGGATTGGTTAGAAAGTTGAAAGATCCATCTGCCTACTTTGCCAATCATCCCTTCATGGCTTGGAGAGCATAGTGGAAGGAAAGTAGAGTAGGGGTAGGCCTTGGAAAGGATGGATAGAAAGGTTAAAGGAGGTGTTGTAGTGCGAGAGGCTTGGACTTCCAGCAGGCATGTGTGAGTATGTTAGATAGGAGCGAGTGGAGACAAATATTTTTTATGACTTGATAGCTGATGAAGTGTAAGCAAGGAAACCGGCAGGCCGGACATGAGTCCTGGAGGTGGGAGGTACAGTGCCTGCACTCAGAAGAAGGGGTGTTGCAACTTGACTGTAGTGTAAATGCGCCTCTGGCAAGACAGTGATGAAGTGAATGATAATGAAAGTGTTTCTTCTTTATCAGGTCACCCTGCCTTGGTGGGAAACAGCCGATGTATTAAAAATAAATAAAAAAGTGGCCGCACATGTGGTTGATTAGTTTTAAAACTAACTGTATTAGGAGGTACACAGCTGTGTATACCCCAAGAGGTGTGTACCTCAATGTACTGTACACTTAGAGATTACATTGATGTCTCTCTCTTAGGGAGTTAAGCATTCTTGACGTTAGTGTACAGATGACATGCAGCATTAATAACCCAGGTGCGGTTGGTAACCTCTAATAATAATAACCTTCACTAACTTATATGGGAGTTGATAACTTATTGTGTGTTACTGACTTGTTGTGTGACTTTGGGAAATTTAAACTAACTTACTGTTTTAAATTATTAAACTTTTTTGGGGGATTTTAGTGCTTGCTGTGTGGGGTTATAAAACATGGCTACTGACCCCACACAAAAATCACTTTTTTTGCTGAAAAAAAGGCTCCCCTAAACGGGCAAAAACCTCGTTTTTGGGGTCATGCAGATGCTGCTCTTTTTAATTAGCCTCGGGGAATACCGCTAATACAATTCGCGTAAAAATTAAGCACAAAAAATAAACCTAATGCAAGCAAGGAGTGAAGGTGAAAAAAAACCCCGGGAACAGGGTTTAGTTTGGATGAAAGGTGCTTAGGTATTTAAACTTCTACTGTGCATCAAAATTAGTTTTTTGGGACCTTTTGGGGCATGGGGGGGTCAAAGGGGCGGGCGGGCAGAAAATTAGTGACCCAAGGGAATATATTTTAACCCCTTAAATGTGGAAAAAAGTAAGCTCTCAGGGGTAGTATAAAACTGAAGACACACTTCCCCCGGTCTTTTTCCGCTAAATTAAAAACCTCACCAAATGCACAAAAAAACTCTACCACGGGCGGGGTTTAAACCCCGCGATCATTGAGTCATAAAACTCCAGCCCGACGCGGGTTTAGGGTTTTGGTTTTTTTTATTTTCTGTGTTTTGACAAAATTATCTTTTTGTCCTCCAAAAAATGGGGGGGTGTTTATTAACTCCCTTCTTTCCAAAAAAAGAAAAAAATTTTTTCTACATAAAAAAGGGGAGGAAAACCACGAAAGCGGGCCCTGTTGGCCCAACTAGGCAGGTTCTATTGCTGAATGATCACTTATAATTTAATACAATGTGTATTTTGATGAGTAAAATTTTTTTAATTTAAAATGTCCTTTCACTTATTCACATTTTTATTTATTACACTTTCCCTTATTGCCCAAACATTTTTTTTCCCATTTGCTTTTTCCTTGTGTACCCTTTTCACCATTCTTTCTTTTTCTCTCCCCCCTCCCCCCCCTCTCTTCTCTCTCCCCCTCTCCTCTCCCCCTTTTAAATTATATTAAAAGTTTTAAAAAGGGAAGGGGTTATATAAACAAAAATTTAGGGGGCTCGGGTGGCCTGGGGGTTAACGCTCCCCTTCCCAACCCCGGTGAGGGCCTGAAAACGGTGAGGGCCTGGGTTCGTTTCCCCCGCCAGAGTAAAACATTGGACGGTTTTTTTTTTCCACCGGGTTCTATGTTTCCCCATCATTTAAAAGGGTTTAACTGGGTTTTTGGGCGACGGGTGGGGGTTTCGCACCCCTGGGAATTTGACCTAAGGGGGCCCTTTGGTCACAGCCCGGGCCGCGGGGGCGTTGCCCCCGGGAAATTTCCTCTCCAAAACCCTTTGCAAAGGGAGGCAAAAAAGGGAAATCAATGGTTTTAAAGTTGAATCCCCTTCCTGTTGAAAGAGAAAACGGGAGAAGTGTGTAATTGCGGGCAGATGTGAAAAAAGAGCAGGGCAGTTCTACCCCTTTTCCCTCCGTGGCACACACCCTGAAAAGAAATTACCCCCTGCATCTTTCATTTTGCACCCTCACACCTGGGATAAAACTAACTCTCTACCAAAGTCCAAATTTTTTTTTAAAATTTATAATGAAACAACTCTACCGTAACATACGTGTGGTATAAGCGTGCTAGGGGGACTTGGAAATTTTGTTTATTTTTTTTCTTTAGATATCTGTAATATGGGAGTAAACTAATCCCCCGATACCAAAATTTTAGCTTTAATAAAGGGAAGGTGTAAATTTTGGGGGTTTGAAAATTGATAAATAATAAACAACGATTTAAATAATGACGTTAAAAACTTTTCAGTCAAAAAAAACACGGAATTTTCCACGCTTTATAAATTAGACCATCGCCCTTTTTCATGTGGTTCGTACACAAAATGGCGGTCTGACATCCCCCGCCCCCACCCTTTGTTGCACCGTGACCAAACTTCAACCTTTGTATCTCAAAAACTTAAAACATAAAAACGTTTACCTCCCGCAATAACTTTTATTTCCTCTCATTTTATAGCTAGTATTTAATGTCAAACAGAGGTGCCAGAGGACCCTGTTTTTTCAACGCCTCCCCCCGCCCCACAGAGGGAATTCCCAAAAAACCCTTTTGCACTTCAAGAGGGAACTTAAACTAGTTCCAAAAATAAAAATCACTGACTACCAGGTGTGGACTGCGTGCGCCAAATTTAACACCCTGGTTTATTAGGCCTTGATCCACATGAAGGCCTACTCTGGGACCAAGCCACGGGGGGCCCCGAACCCCCCAGAGGGATCCCTTCGGGGGAAGTAAGTTTATTTAGGTATACCCCAAATACTTTTTCATAGAATTATTTATAATAGCAGCATATGTGTAGAGAACCAGGATAAACCCAAAAAAAATCAGACAGTGGACTTATTTCCATTGGGGGCCTTTTTCCTTTTTTTATTAAATATAAAGGTCATAAAATTTTATTTTTATTCTTTTAAAAAAGAAGATAACAAACTTATTTCATACTAAAAAACTA